TAGCAGTATCGTGGTGGTATTGTAGTGGTATCGTAGCAGTATTGTGGTGGTATTGTGGTGATATAGTAGCAGCATCGTAGCGGTTTCGTGGTCGTATCGTAGTGGTATCGTAGCAGTATCGTGATCGTATCGTAGTGGTATCGTAGCAGTATTGTGGTGGTATCGTAGCGGTATCGTGGTGGTATCATAGCAGTATCGTGGTGGTATTGTAGTGGTATCGTAGCAGTATCGTGGTCGTATCGTAGCAGTATTATGGTGGTATTGTGGTGGTATCGTAGCAGTATCGTAGCGGTTTCGTGGTCGTATCGTAGTGGTATCGTAGCAGTATCGTGGTAGTATCGTAGTGGTATCGTAGCAGTATCGTGGTGGTATCGTAATGGTATCGTAGCAGTATCGTGGTGGTATTGTAGTGGTATCGTAGCAGTATCGTGGTCGTATCGTAGCAGTATTATGGTGGTATTGTGGTGGTTTCGTAGCAGTATCGTAGCAGTATCGTAGCGGTTTCGTGGTCGTATCGTAGTGGTATCGTAGCAGTATCGTGGTCGTATCGTAGTGGTATCGTAGCAGTATCGTGGTAGTATCGTAGTGGTATCGTAGCAGTATCGTGGTGGTATCGTAATGGTATCGTAGCAGTATCGTGGTGGTATTGTAGTGGTATCGTAGCAGTATTGTGGTGGTATCGTGGTGGTACTGTATTGTGGTGGTATTGTAATGGTATCGTAGCGGTATCGTAGCAGTATCGTGGTGGTATCGTAGCAGTATCGTGGTGGTATCATAATGGTATCGTAGCGGTATCGTGGTGATATTGTAGTGGAATCGTAGCAGTATTGTGGTTGTATGGTGGTGGTATCGTAGTGGTATCGCAATGGTATCGTAGCGGTATCATGGTGGTATTGTGGTGGTATCGTAGCAGTATCGTGGTCGTATCGTAATGGTATCGTAGCGGTATCGTGGTGGTATTGTAGTGGAATCGTAGCAGTATTGTGGTGGTATCGTAGTGGTATCGTGGTGGTATCGTAGCGGTATCGTGGTGGTATTGTAGTGTTATCGTAGCAGTATCGTGGTGGTATCGTAATGGTATCGCAGCGGTATCGTGGTTGTATCGTAATGGTATCGTAGCGGTATCGTGGTCGTATCGTAACGGTATCATAGTGGTATCGTAGCGGTATCGTGGTGGTATCGTAATGGTATCGTAACGGTATCGTAGTGGTATCGTAACGGTATTGTAGTGGTATCGTAATGGTATCGTAGCAGTATCGTGGTCGTATCGTAATGGTATCGTAGCGGTATCGTAACGGTATCGTAGTGGTATCGTGGTGGTATCGTAGTGGCATCATAGCAGTATCGTGGCGGTATTGTCGTGGTATCGTAGTGGTATTGTGGTGGTATCGTAGCAATATTGTGGCGGTATTGTCGTGGTATTGTAGTGGTATCGTGGCAGGATGCTTCTTCTGCTTCTGACCTGAATCAGATGATGCAGGAGAACCAACCTRTTCCAGGTGAGACCTACCTGCGCGTGTCGTCTCCCTCTCCCTCCAGGTCCAGGTGCTTCAGCAGCCCATTGATCTCCTCCACCACCTGTTTGCGGTAGTTTCTGATGGCAGCRTTCCCGGAGACATCCAGGGCGTCCAGCTCCACCTGCAGCTCCATCAGGATGCGGGACAGGTGTGCGCAGCTGTCCCTGCCACTCAGCCCCATGAGCAGCGCCACCAGCTGGCTGCGGGCCATGCTCACCTTCACCATCACCTGGTTGATGCGGTGCACCACCTCGTGGGTGTCCCCCGACAGCGGCAGGGACAGGGTCTGCTGCTGCGTGCGTCCCTCCAGGACGTCCTGCACGGCGCAGAGACGCGTCAGCGCCCGGTACCGGGCCTTGCGCAGCGGCACCCGGCCCTCGGTCTTGATCTGCGTGAGCTTCAGGACCAGCTCCTGCAGGGMGTCCACCAGCTCGTCGCTGATCTCCGCCACGCCGCCGGCCCGCTGCGGCGCCACCACGTGCTCGTCCACCAGCCGCCGCGCCTCGGTGCTCAGCTCCTCGATGGCCAGRCGGGACGGGTGGGTGGCGTTCTCCTCCAGGTAGCGCAGGAGGCCCTCCACCTCCTGCGCGGCTCTCTTGCGCGCCCCCTGCAGCTCTGCCTTGCCCTCCGTGTTCACCTGGTCCACCTCCAGCAGCAGCCGGGTCAGCTCCCGCTCCATGCGCTTGTACTCCCGCTCGTTCTGCAGGCCACTGAAGGTGCAGACCTGCGGCCCCAGAGCCGACACCTCCTTCTGGACCTCGTAGAGCCGCAGCATGGCGGGATGGTGCTGCTGCGGCTCCATCGGATGCTGCTGCTGCTCCTGGGGGGCGCCATGGTCCATCCTCTTCCCCCCATCAAAGGGCTTCCCAAACAGGCTGTGGAAAAACAACAAAAACAAACAAGTGTTGGCATTTTAACGATTGATTCTGTTAAACTGGAGCYTTATTAGCAGGTGGAAGAACCATACACWGCCACAACAGCCCGACTCTATGGGATAAATSTTGTTCCAGCAGGAAGTGAATTTGAATTGCTCAGATTGAATCTGAATGTGCAGAATTTGAAATTGAATGCATTGGTTTGAAAATAAATTTCACTAAATTTAAAGTTTTGTATCTGAATTAATTTTCTTTGAAACTGTATTTTGGTTTATTAAAAATTCAGTTTGACTACTTCCACTTTCAGTTCCATAATTCAGATTTTTGTGTCACATCCTGGTCCTTGAGAAAGCCAGGCAGAGTAATCAAACACAGATCCACAGATTTATGTTTCACTTTGGTGAAGTTTCCCTTCTGGATGTAACAGAGTTGATGCAATCCACTGTAAAAGTGACAAAAACACACAAAGTTATTTTATTGCAGTGATTAATTTGACCTATATGTAGAAAATGTTACATTTACATGATGACATCATGGATCAGATATTGATCAGATGCTGCTGCTGACTGATCCACATTCTACATAAGATTGGACATTACAATCTAGTAACCAGGACAACTGCTGGTGGGCCAAATCAAAAAGCTTGGTGGGTTGATTTTGGCCCATGGGCCCCACTTTGGTCAACTCTGGTTTACATGCAGACATTCCCCTTTGACATCACTTCACATGCAAACATCTTAACAACCGTACATCTCAGTGATGTGAAATTGTTTTTGCAATATGTTATCTATGTTATCTTTCCAAAAGTGCATTCACATTTATCAGAAGAACTGACGTCACAGACACTTTAAAGATTAGAAATGTAGCTTCAGATGATCGCTCGTCATTCTGAGAGCAGACTATCATTCATGATTATAAATCTGTATTCTCTGAAGCTCTTGGATGGAAGAGGACCCGGTTCTGGACGGTTCCAGAATCCAGGATGAGCACATGTCAGGCTTTTTAATTTGGGATAATCTCTGCAAAGATCCGGTCCAACATGGCAACACAGAGAAGCTGTTTCTGGAGACAACACGGATCTCCATCCTCATCCTCAGATCCAGGCCGGACCGGCTTCATGTCCCCGCAGATCCCCCAGCTGCTGCCGGGGCTTCAGAGCCCCCCGAACCCGCCCCACACCTCCGGGTAAAGCCCCGGCCTCACCTCTTCAGCACCCCGAACACATTGGCGCACATTTTCGGAGAGGGTTGTTGCCATCAGCCGGGGCAGAAATCATGGAGGTTTCCCCCGGACCGGAGGAGGACGGGTCTCCGCTCAGCCTCAGCACCAACCGACCGACAGACGGACTGTGACGGACCCGCCTGAGAGGGACTGCGGCGGGGCTGCTGTCGCCCCTCCCACCGCCAGAACCGCCCGCTTCTGTGTCTTTAAAACACTTTAATTTAAAAATAAAATAAATAAAATAAAAGCAGGCTTCACGGAGGTTCAACCCGGAGCGTCGGAACCTGGACGGTGGTAAACAAAGCCAGCTCCCCCCTCCCTGGTGCTTCCTCTCCGGATGATCACCTGACTCTTCCCGCCCCACCTTTTGGCCTAAAACACTTTTTATTCTCAGGAAATAAAAGCAGAAACGCGGAGACGTCTCCACCTGTCGTCTTACCTGCACAGCCAGCGCACAGCCATGTGAACTGCTGCTGGAAAGGTCGCACCTCCCTGGATTAAAGCTCAACATTAACGCACCTACAGACACCTTCAGCTACTTTCTGCTCGCGCACAGGAACTCACACGGAGGTGCTTTTTCCTCGCTCCGCTTCCCTTACTTTAATTTACCCACGTTTACCTGCTGATAAAAACAAACCGTATGKAGCAAATGTTTGTGCCATTCATTAATTCGTATAAATGTTAAGGAATGTACTTAAGAATTTATATATTTTTAATTAACGGTTCTTTTTTAAACCCATGTATACTTTTTTGTTGTCCAACAATCAGTGCGTTCGATTTAGTCATCCGCGTCGTGCGGTGCGGGAAAGAAAACCTTAAATTAAAGTGTACTTTCATGAATAAAACTTGTTTTGTTTTATTCTGTTATGTTTATTTTAATTTATCTGTTGATTCGTTTGTTTTGTGAACACAGAAACACCGGGTTTGCTTTGTAAAAAAAAAAAAGAAAAAAGCTCCAGCAGCCGGTGAGGTTTTTGAGCTAACTCCTACTTCCGCTCTGCTGTGACCAAACATCCGGTTAGACGAGCAGGTCGTGAGCTGCTCGGTGACCCGTGTGTTTGTTGTCGGAACCAGTGCTTTGGTTCTGTTCTGTTTGGGTTGTAAAGAGTTTATTTAGTTAAAAATGTTGTTGAGACGTTCACCGTGTCTGAATTCAAGCTTCACTGCTCTGCGCCTGTTTCCGGCCCGGTTCTGCAGCTCTGACCGAACCGCTCAACGGGACAGAACCACAAAGGTCTGTTTCATGTTTTATTTTATTTAAGATAAAAGTAGCAAAAATCTAGCAGATAGCTAAAATCTGCAAAATGCTGTGTTAACGTAGCAAATTTGTAGCTAAATACAAAGTAGCCAAAGGCTAAAAGTAGCTGAAGGATAAAATGCAAAAATAATAATAGTGAAATAAATAAAATCAGGTAAAGTAGCCACGTTTTTAGAATAAATGTTAAAGTATCAAAAGGCTAACTGAAAGTAGAAATAGACTTAAAATTAACAGAATGGTAGCTGAATGTATGGAAAGTTTAGCTAAAAACTAAAGTACCAGAAAGCTAAAAGTAGTCGTAGGCTAGCCAAAAAATATTAKCTATAAATGGCTAAAAGCAGCAAAGGTCTAGCTGATAGCTAAAAGCTGTTAAAGGCCAGGTAAATTACCTAATTGTTAAAAYCTAAAGTAGCTAAAGGTTAACTAAAACCTCAAAGTAGCTTAAAGTAGTAAATAGCTAACTGAAAGTTTAAAAAAAGTCAATACTAAAAGTAGTTCATTTTCAAAGTAAAAATAAAAGTAGTGACAGGCTAAAGGTAACAAAATAGCTAAATACATCAAATGGTTAGCTAAAACCTAAAGTAACAGCAGGCTAACAATGCTAAAGGTAGCAATATGCTATCTTAAATGTAATTTTTTTAGCTTAAAGTTAGCACAAGTCAGTATAAGCTAAAGTAACATGTTAGCTTAATGCTAAATRTAGCAGAAAGATTTGTTTTATAGTTTTCACTCATTTTCACTCTTTACTTTGTTGCTTATTTATTGTTTAAATAATGACCTCAGTAATGTTTCACGTTTGTTGGTTTCAGGTTGTTTTTATGTAGAATTCAGTCCAATAAATCCAAATATTTCATGTTTTTGRTGATGTTTAAATTAGAGTTGCACAATAAATCACTCATCATCACACTAACAACCTGTGCGACAGACAAAACCTGCACAAACTGTAATAAAAATGTTTGTTTTCCTGTGTGTTTGTCAGCTTCAGTCTGAACAAAATAAACCCGATGAATCAGATCAGAACCACTTGACGACGACTGCAGGGAGAGAGTTTACAGCTGGATTTAGTTTAAACTTTTATTTACAATTATTTTTTCAGATGATTTATTGTTAATTGTTKAACCTGGTAGTAAGAGGTGTTTTTCAGTGTTCAGACCATCAGAAATGTTTGAAGTCATTAAGAAACTGTTCATGCAGTTTGTTTTCACTGCTAACACAAACCTGTGGTGTTGGACTGGAAATGATGTTTAATTTATTGTGTATTTGCTCTGAACCCAGACGTAAACACTGCGGGTCACATCAGGGCAGTCTTCAGCTGTTWTCACACTCAGCTTTAATCTTTATATTTATGCAAACATCTGGTCCCTGCTTCTAACCTTCAGAAATAAAATAAATTCATCAAACCTCAGCTGCAGTTCCTCTAAAGACAAGCTTGTTTCTGAAGGTTCTGTGTACCCCGGTCCCGGTCCTGGTCTTGGTCCTGGTCCTGGTCTCCGGGGTCGGGTCTTTCTCCTCGCAGCTCTTCTCATCGTGTCGCCTGCTCAGCACTGATAAGCTCCATCTGCAGCTCAGTTTGAACTCCTGTGACGTGCACATTTCAGCGTGCACGTTTCAGCGTGCACGTTTCAGCGTGCACACTAACGAGCTGCAGGTTCACTGAGTTCGGCTTGTTTCGGCTGAAAGCAGCTGAAGTTTCTTCACGGTGGCTGAACTGAGCTCACAGCTTGTTTCTACCCGCAGAGAGCCGGCTTCAGGCCCGAGCCCAGCTCCACACACGACTGGATCGGACCCCCCAACCCGCTGTCCAACCTGCGGCCTGTCGTCTACCGAGTCMCCCCCAACGAGTCGGACCTGCAGAGGCAGCTGAGGACGCTGAGGCAGGAGACCGAGGACTGGAACCAGGACTTCTGGACCAGACAGAACCTCAGCTTCAGCGAGGTACACATGCAGCTGTTGTGTTCTGATATGGCGTTGTGTTGTTGTGTTGTTTTTAGGTCACAGAAGTTGATTTGTGTCACTAACAGCTAAAAATAAAAATAATTTTCATCAGAAATCCCTTCATGTTTGTATCAGTGGTTTATTTCTCTGATTGGGTCAGAACCATCAGAACTTAAACTTTTTATGTGAAATCTGATTCTCACCAGCAGAGGGCAGCAAAGTCCAACAGCTGCAGACTTTAAACATTTATGTGCTGCTAAATAACTGAGATKATGTGAATTAAATACAACTTAAWGTTTGTTTTTAAAATATATAAAATGTTTGACAGCATAAATCTGTATCTTTCTGTTAATATTAATTATTAAATAAAGATGTTTTTAATGTTTTCTGCAGGAAAAAGAAGCGTTCATCCTCTCCCAGCTGAAGGCTAAAGGCTTGACTCTGCGTGATGAAGAAGGTCAGGATTTATTTTTCTCTTAAATGTTTCAGTTTTTGTTGTTTAAACACAAAAATAAAAACTTTAAATTCTGCAAAACCGACTGTTTTACCTGTTAAATACGTTTAGTTCCTGGAGCCTGTAAGAGGCAGAACAGCTGAGGTTCTGCAGAGATTCTTTACATTTATCCACCTGGTCAGACTCTGACATCTTTTATAAAAATCGTAAATAAAACATTTCTGTATAGAAAACCTAACCCCCCCTCCCTCAAACCTGAGTGGACCGGTCTGGAAGCAGGAGGGGGGCGGGGCTTGAAGCGTCTTAAAGGAACAGTAACAAAACGAGCTGCTTTGAGAGACACAGCAGAAAYGTGGTGAAAGAGGAGCTGGTGACGTTAGAATAAGGAGGAATTCAGACCAAAGTTTTATATTTCACTTTATAAAGACCAAACTGAAGGGTTTAGAAGCAGGATATTTATATTTATAAATGAAATAAAACAAATGAGAAATAAAGGTTTTTGTGTAAAAACTAAGAGCTGGAGCACTGCTGAAAGTTGATGATGATGATGATGTCGTCTCCTCCTCCTCAGGAAGACGTCGGGCTCTGAGCACTGAGGAGATGGCTCAGTTCTACAAAAGCTTCCTGGACAGAAACAGAACCCGACACGCTGATTACAACAAGTGAGGCTTTATTTTCTTCTGCAGCTTTAAAAGTTCTGACCCGTCCTGTGGGTAAACAACAACAACAAACAAACAAACAAACTGTAACGTGCTCACAGCTGTCTGCAGCTGGTTGCAGTTGGTTAAAATGAAAACATTCTTCATCAGAACCAGCAGCAGACATCTTTAAACTCTGGTTCTGGTCTGAATCTTCATGTTCTGTTTGTTCAGAGAGTGGTACCGACGGAACTTCAGCATCACGCTGCTGATGGCCCGGGTCGCTCTCAGCGGGCTGTGGAGGACCGCCCTGGAGAAGAGGAGCAGCCGTCCCACCACGTGATGAAGAGGAGCAGCCCCTCCCACCACCACGTGATGAAGAGGAGCAGCCCCTCCCACCACGTGATGAAGAGGAGCAGCCCCTCCCACCACGTGATGAAGAGGAGCAGCCCCTCCCACCACGTGATGAAGATAAATTCTCCTGTTTTTATCTGCTGCTGAGAGAACTCCAGCGGTCATATTTTATGCAGAAAGTCTGAACTTTGTAACCAAACTGAACGAGGACTCTGAGCAGCTGGACATCATGAAGACCAAGGATCTGGACATCATGAAGACCAAGGATCTGGACATCATGAAGACCAAGGATCTGGACATCATGAAGACCAAGGATCTGGACATCATGAAGACCAAGGATCTGGACATCATGAAGACCAAGGATCTGGACATCATGAAGACCAAGGATCTGGACATCATGAAGACCAAGGATCTGGACATCATGAAGACCAAGGATCTGGACATCATGAAGACCAAGGATCT